TGAGTCGGAAACGACTCGACGGCACTTAACAACAACAACAACAACCAAAAACATTGCTTCTTAAGGTGTTGGGAGGGACGGGTGGTGGGCTTGTGTAGCTTGAAACCACTTTACTCCCTGGTGATTCTTATACCTCATCTTTCCCATTCCCCTCGAGTATTGGCCTTGTTCCCTATCTGGGAAATACTTGCCTGATTTGTATCATAAAAGGAAAATTTAACAGAAAACTTTTAGAATCCTGAAGTCTTGTTTCCTTTTTGAGCAAATAATTTCATATGTTCCTTTTGTAAAATGAAGATAGTAGAGTGTAGATATAGAATTTGAAATTCCATATTACCATGAAGCTCCTTAGTCCTGTGAAACAATTCAGAGTATTTTCCCAGTGGTTTGTGAGGCAGTAGTGTCATCTTCATATATAAAGAACAGCTGGTTGATTGAGAGATGTGATACAGATTTCAGTTTTTCTTCTTCACAGTTTAGCATTACTAGGTTATTTTTACACTGAGCACAGGTTTTTTTTTATATGTATACACTTTTATGTCTACTTTTATAGTCAAGAAACAAAAAATGTATTTCCACTTAGGAAAAATAAGACACCCTCCCCCATAAAAAAGGCGGTATGGAAACTTGATGGTAGAAGGAAGCTCAGGTTGTCAGGCAGCTGCTCTGCCACTGCAGTCAGTCATCAGAACATCTCCATGTCCAGAATTCCAGTTTTACAACTTTAAACACAGTATTCCGTCTTCATGTGATGGTGTGTATTCAGAGTAAATGAGTTCCTATGGCTTGAACCTTAAATTTCATAAATAATTTTCAACTTCATTTCTAATAATTATATAGACATAGTTGCTTTAAAAAAACACCTATAAGCAATAATGTATAAAATATGATCATTCTTAATAGAACTTGAACTATCCTGCCTGTCTCTCCCCATTAGAAACAGAACGAAAACAAGAGGATCTCATTCTCCATATCCCACCAGCTTTATTATTTTTGAGTAAGAAACAAACACTAGATTTGAAGTCACCAAGCAATAAATAGGAGCCCTGGTGGCACATTGGTGAAGAGCTCGACTTCTTATCAATTATAGCTTAGCAGTTTGAACCCATCAGCTCCTCCAAAGGAAAAATATGTGGTGGTCTGCTTCCATAAAGATTTACAGCCTTAGAAACCCTATGAGGCAGATGTTCTATAGAGTTGGCTGTGAGTCAAAATTGACTCAGTGGCATACATATGCATCATGTTCTCTCTTTAATTTTAGGGAATATCCACCTATCACTTCAGATCAACAAAGACAACTTTACAAAAGAAGTTTTGACACTGGCCTGCAGGAATACAAGAGTTTACAAGCAGAACTTGATGAGATCAGTAAAGAACTCTCACGTCTAGATAAAGAACTGGATGATTATAGAGAAGAAAGTCAAGAGTACATGGTAATCTCAGACTTGATATTTATAAATTACATAGAATTTTATTCTAATCCATTTAGATACAGTATCATTATACTAATGTTGATGAACAGTGTTGCTAATAATTATTAAACTGTAACTTCATTTTCCTTGAAAATGATTTGGATATGTGCTTCCAAACTGAAGAGTCTACTAATGTAGATAAGAGTTACAAAACAATAGTCTATTTACTTATATCCCTTCCTGTTCAAAGGAAATTACCATATTTTCTGTTGATAAACCTAATATTCTTTATGAAAAAAAAAATTCAAACAATGCATAAATATATAAAGGAAAAAAAACATTGACCCATGTCACCAGTAGATTGCCCAGCCTTCCTTCCGAGCTGTGTGTGTTAGATACTAGTAATTAAAGTTTTTATATCACTTCATATATTTATCAGAAATTCATATTTTATTAAATGCCTTCTGTATTTTTCTATTGGGAGTGATCTACCTTTCAGTATTGAAGTATTTACCTCTTAAATAGTTTGAATTTATCACTTTCTTTTATGATTTCTGTATGGAGGCATTGTAAACTCTTTCAATTTGGTAAACATTTGTTGATCATTTATTCACTCTTAGATGATACAGAAATGCTGAGGTTAGAAAGAGAAACAAAAATCTCAGCCCTCAAAGATTTGGAGCTCATATTCTAAGAGAGAAATTGCATCTAAACATCTGTGATAAATGCTTTTAATTATCTCCAGAAAATGCTATAGCTCTTATAAGCCATAACATCTGCTCAAGGCCTGGAGAGTTTTAGGGGAAGTTAAGAATTTCTGTGAAGGGGTGGGGCATGATTATAGTCACAAAGAGTGTACGATCAGAGATCTGGAAGCATTTAATTTGTGTGTGTGTGTCTGTGTGTGTGTGATTTGGGTGAAAATTTACAGAGCAAATTCACTTTCCATACAGCAGCTCACATACACTTTGTTTCATGACATTGGCTATAATTTCCCACAGTGCAATAGTTTCCCTCCCACTCCCTCCCTATAGTCACCTCTTCCCTGTGTCCTTCCCTCCCATGCACTCCTGCCCCCCTGAGCTGTCTCCCCATGCATACATAGCCCTTCTATTCCCCCATGATTGTTCTCTCCAAGGGGTATGTCTACCTAATGTAAATGTTCAGCTCATATGCCTATCTTTTGTTTGGTTGGAAAACAGGAGTGGGTTCAATTCTGGACATGAAGGGCAGCAAGGGGCCACAGTCTCAGTGGTTCTGTAAGGCTCTTAAGGCTCTTATCAGACCAGCAAACCTGGTCCCCCTTTTTTTTAAAAATGATTTTGAGTTTTGTTCCACATTGCTCTCCCACTCTATCCAGGATCTCCTATATAGATCCCCGTCCAAGTGGTTGACAGTGGTGGCTGGGCACCATCTAGGTTTTCTGGTCTCATAGTCATATAGGCTGAGGGTTTCATGGTGTACTAATTGTTTGGACTAATTGTTTCCATGCATCTTTGGTTTTCTTCATTCTTTGCTCTGGATGAGGACAGAGCCATCGTTGCATCTAGATGGCCGCCTGCAAGCTGTTAAGGTCCCAGTTGCTACTCGCCCAAGTAGGATGTGGAACAATATTCTGTGTAGTATGTTACTCCAATTGAGTTTGATATCCCGTGACTGTGGTCCCACTACTTGGTAGCTGGCTGTGGCCAAGCAGTGATTACAGCCTTGTCCCCTGTCAGCTCTACTATGTACCTGGGAATTTTTATAGAACATACCAATACACTTGTAGAAACATTATCTGCCAACCCTATACATGGTCTTGGGCTAATTTTTTAAAGGAACAACAAATGATATATATTGAGACTGGACAGGTTGGAGACTAGATTTGTAGAGAAGTTAAAGGAGAGCTCAGCTACATTTTGCAGTGGGATAAAACCTGATCAGAGCTGTGCTTTAGAAAAGATGTCTCCTGAGTCTGTGGCTTGTGAACATGAGAATGTGAATGGAATATGAGAAATACAACGTCATAAATGTTTCTTCTGTGGCTTCCTTTAGACCTTCCAGCCTTAAGACTTTCTATTTTAATTCCCTATCTTTTTCTCATAAAATGGCATTTTTAGATCTGAAGTATAGCATCAGGATTTTCTTGAAAGAGAAAGTGCCCTACTAAATGTATATTTCCTTGTGGTTCTCATAACAGGCTGCTGCTGATGAATACAACAGACTGAAGCAAGTTAAGAGAGTGAGTATCCTGGATTATAAAGTGCTCATAGGAAGAACTTTAATTCTGTGTTTAGAACTTCTGTGAGTGCTTTGTATCCTGATTAAAGACAAGAGGCCTGTAATTGTGAGATGAAAATCGTAATTTGAGAAGTTAGAACCTTACTCTTGGTTGTTTGCAGCTACAGCCAATACTGATGATTTAAAAACTGTATTTAAAGTTGAAGTATACATAAAAAAAGTAGTGTACAGCTTGATAACATTTCATGAGATGACCATATACCTGTATAACTGCCACCCAGATCAAGAAATTAATTTCCTAGCATTATCCCCTATTCCAGTTTCTGCCGTCTCCCCAGCATAACCACTATCATGAATTTTTATTATGATAAAAATATTTATAACACAGCATTTGCCATTTCAATATTTTTTCCGTGTTTTCAATATTTTTTCCATGTAGTACTGAGTTCAATTATTTACATTCATCATATTCTACAGCCATCACCACAGTCTGTTTCCAAATATTCCCAACACCTGTAAAATAAGGTCCCTTGCCCCTCAGCAATGACTTCCTCTTTGCCCCTCCTATTGGCCCCTGTTGTTGTTGTTGTTACGTACCATCGATTCGGACCCGACTCATAGCTACCCCTCCTTGGGTTTCCGAGGCGGTATCACTACGGAAGTAGATTGCCTAACCTTCCTTCCAAGGAGTAGCTGGTGAGTTTGAACCTCCAGCCTTCTGGTTAGCAGTCGAGTGCCTTAAGCACTATGCTCCCCTGGCAACCACTCATAAACTTTGCTCTTTATACATTTGCCTATTGTAGGTATTTCATGTAAGTGGGCCATAAGTATTTGCCTCTTTGTGACTGACTTATTTCACCTTAGCATGTTTTCAAGATTCATCCATGTATACTTACTTCTAACGTCATAGATTTTGTTTGCCAGTTTTCTACTTTATATAAATGGAATCACATGTAGTGGCTTCTTTTGCTCAGTATTATGTTTGTGAGGTACATATGTGTTGTGGCATTAGCTGTGGTTCATTCATTTTATTCATCCTATCTACTATTAATGAACATTTGCGTTGTTCCTAAGTAATGCAGCTACAAACATTTTTATAAAAGTCTTCTGTGCACATATGTACACATATTTGAGAGTTAACTGACAGGGTCTCTGGGCCTTAGCATATACTACCAGTTTTCCAAAGTGGTTGGTGTTAATTGACATTTACATACTTACCAGTGTAGATTCCTATTGCTCCATATCCTTGCCAACACTCGGCATCATCAGTTTTTATTGACGTGAAGCATTTTTTGTTGGTAAAAAATTTTATATTAAATACATCTAAAATCCTAAAACATAATGATTTTAAATGCAAGATTTCAAAAAGTTATTTAGTAAAATTTTGTGTCTCTTACCCTATTCATTTCTTTTTCAAGTCACATGTTGTCACTGGTTTTTTTGTTTGAATCAGTTTTTTAATTATGTCTTCGCAAAAAGGCCCATAAAATTTTCTTGGCCATTTACAAATATTTAGGAATAAATTTATCTTTGTAAGGAGCTCTGGTGGTATAGTGGTTAAGGCATTTGGCTGCTAACCAAAAGGTCAGTAGTTTGAATCTACCTGCCACTCCACAGAAGAAAGGAGTCAGCTGCCTAGGTGGTTAGCGAAGACTTCTAGGTGTCTTAAGTATGCCTCATTTGATACTCCCAACAACTCTGTTTGACAAATAGTGTCCCTTTTTTCTTTTCACATCTGCCTTTCCAGAAGCTAGCACATAACCCATTTTTATTTTATTGAATTTACCTGATTTTTTTTTCCCTTTTTAGTCTGCAGATTACAAAAGAAAGAGGAATTATTGCAAGCAGTTGAAGAGCAAATTATCACACATCAAGAAGATGGTGGGAGATTATGATAAACGGAAAACATAGAATGCAGATTTCACCTTGTTTGAGAGATTAAGGAGTTATCTGTCTGATGTCTCTTCAATATTCTCATAAGGCAAATGACTTTGGACTCTAACCTGGGAAGCCAAACCTTTGTGATCATTACAAAGTTTTGGTAGCTTTAATATTATCACTATAATATCATCAGTATTGAAGCATTTTATAAATAGCTTTTGAAATTCAACTGGGCTGAACACTCCAATTAAGGATTTTATGCTTTAAACACTGGGTTTTGTATTAAAAACTAAATACTGTTTGAGGTTTTCAGATCAGAAAGGAACGTCTTGGTGTGAACTGTGCTGTGAACGTTCACACCCTGGGCATGTGTTAATAATATGTAAGTGCATTCACAAAAGTGATCTCATTTACTCCTCCCAACTACTCTTCAGGTAAACTGCTATTTATAATCTTCCTTTTCAGATAAGGAAACTAGCTTCCTGCATTGAAGTCTCTAAGGTGAAACTGCTTGCTAGCACTTTGCTAGCGTGCAGTTTTGGTGAAGTCTGTTTTATGACTCCACCAATAAAGTCCTTGGCCTTTCATATTTTAGCTAGCATTCCATCAGTCTACTTGACTGACTATATACATGATTAAAAAGAATTTTTTCTTGATTTATGTTCTCCTATATGATAAAGATCATATAAAATTAACAAGTGTGAAATTTAAAGATTGTAAATATTTACTTGCTTTTTTAAAGTCCAAATTTAAACTTAGTGGTTACAATTTTGTTGTGTATTTTGAAATACTTTTTATCTTTTATGGTTTACATTTTTTTTTTTTTTAACCCATTAGACTTTTTCATTATAAGAGTATCCAATTACATTTATAATTCAGTTGTGACTTGAATTTTACCTTTCAGGGATATTCAAGTTCTGTACATACTTTTATAAGGTATTAAACCTAATATATCAAATAGTGCACCTGTTTGATGTCATTAATGCTGTTAATATTAAGCCGTGAACTATACTCAGGAGTTGTATTTGTTGTTTTAAGCTATTTTGGGTGCTGTGCTGGTTGGTAGTTTCCTAATCCTTTGGCAATAAGAAGAGTGATTTTTCTAGAAATAGAATGCTATACCATGGAACACCAAATTATTTTGAATGGTGCCTTTTGATCTCAGCATTTTTTTTTTTTAATTCAAATTCTTATTAGCGAAGTACAGTTAGTTGAAAATACTGTATATATAGCTAACCAAGTTACCAAGTTGATTGGAATTTTCAGCTTTTAGAACTGTGCTCTTATACAAAGTTTTTGTTTTTATGAAAGTTTTTAAGAATAACCTTTAAATGAATCTTCAGTATGTAATTCTGACATTTAAGTATATAATTTTCTACGTACAAGTCTGGATGATTTTCCAAAGATAAGCTTTTAAAGAAATGATGTTTCCATAATAACACTAATTCATTTCTTCAAATTGAAGAAATTCTTAATTTTCTACATACTCTACATACTTAGTAATATAAAAGGTGATAACGATCAGCTTATGCTTTTCAGAGCTTTTGGATTCACACTAGATGGAAAGGACTTCTGAGCACTTTAACTGATTTTTGTCTGTAAATTTCCAATTCTTTGTTCTTGGAAGTCAGTATACTTAGCTCATGAAGGTGAGTTTTCCAGTGTTCTGACAAGACAAAACTTTCTGGCTGAATGGAGAGAATACAAATTTGCAATGTAAAATTGGACTTTGAAATAAAACACAAAAAGGAAATCAATTTTCAAAGGTGGAATTTATACCAAAGATCACTTTAAGAATCAGGACTAGGGTGTTTCTTTTGGTATTGACATTAACTAGCTGCATGTAACTCTGAAAAGCCACTCAGGTAGTTTTCTGATCTGGAAAATAAGGGGTTTAGATATTAAAGATTTCTTCCATTCCTGACCATCTGTGGCTCTGCTTTCTGCTGTAAACTATTGTTCCAAGGAGTTTTTTGTGACAGCATGTCTGTCTGATAAAGTTTCAAGTGATGCCCAACTTACAAGTGTGATTATGTATTAAAAGTGGATATGATTAGTATTTTTATTTTGAAATCTTTAAAGAAATACAGAAAAGTATAAACAATATACATGTACCCAGCAATGAGAAGTGTTAACGTTTTACGTCCTTTGTATTTTTTGAAATAAAACTCTACTAGTATTTATTTTGATAGTTAATAGAAATATTAACTATATTTAACTATGTATATATGACATCTCATTGCATCCTCACAGCAATCTTTTGACATGTAACAATTATTAACCTTATTCTTACTACAGATAAGCAAACTAATGATTTGATAGATTCAACTGGCCTTTCGTCACACACTAGAAAGTGGCTAAACTGAGAACTGGAATCTCAGTCTGACTGTTAGGTTCTGAACTTCCATCCTAGGTTGACTTTATTAATAAACAGATTAGATCATATGGGATTTCTTTGATGTTAATAAAGTACCCTATTTTCATTTTGAGTGCATTTTAAATACTCGAATACTTCACATAAAATATTGACTATAATAAAGACCTAAAGTGGGTATATATCTGGAAAGAGAAGTAAGATCAGAAGAGTTCTTTAATCATGGCTCCAGTGGCCTTAGCTATAGTTTGGCTTGGGGTAGTTTCTCACACAGAGACATTGTTCCTACTTCAGCATTGGAATGGACGTGTCTCCCATCTCAACCTTTTCAGTAGCTTGGCTGGAGGAGTCAGAAGTCAAACTTAAGCTCTCAGCAGCTCATAATTCTACTATACCATACCCTGCCATCTCCATGTGAAAGAGCAAATAAATTTGATGGAAGGCTGTATCATTCCTCCTCATGTGCTTCATATTGGTAACATTTATTCTGCTAATGAGAACAGTTTTCATGAACAAATGCCTAGATTATTTGGATAATTTTTCTAAAGCTGCATTAGAAAATTAAAACAGCAGTACCGTGATTAGAAAAGGAGCATGGACATATAACCAGGATGTTTTCTTGTGACTGTAACACAATGTAGAGTGATATCCCAAAAAAATATCCAGTTGCTGCCACAGGACCTACTTGATCATTCTTGTATGTGTTGTCCTATTCTTGATTTGTCCTTCAGCAATTACTTGTTGTGTGACCTTGGACAAATTACATAGCCTCCCTGGACCTCAGTTTTTCTTATCTATAAAAGAGATACTTGTACCTAATCTCCTACAGGTGTTGTGAAAGTAGTTTTATGTATGACTAAGAACAATTTATGTCCAAAAACAAGTATTCAATAAATATGGCTGATTATGGTTACCTTTTCCTACCTGTATCTCAGAGTCAAAAGATGAAACGTTAAACAATTTAGTTTTTTAAAAAGTAGTTGTGTTTTCAAAAGTACATATAGCATCCTGCCAAAGAGGCAGGGAGGCCACATCTTCTGACCTCCTCTAACCCCACAAGAGAAAGACAGAATTACCATTAGTAGCCCAAGGCCTATCCCAAGGAGGCCAGATATGCTACCTCCCTCCAGCACTTTCACCAACCCTGACACCAACCCTACTTCCTGCAGCACACACCACCGCTCTGCTGGGTTCGAGGGTTCCATAATTTGCTGCAGTGGCCACACAGAACTCACAGATTATGGGGTTTATTAGGGAAGCAACAGGCTACAATTAAAGTTTAGGAACATGCTTAGTCTCTCTCAGCCTGCCATCCCTCAGCCAACAGTCTCTCGCAGTCTCTCTCCCAGCAGTGTGTGTCTCTCAGCAGCACGTGTCTCAGGAGTGCGTTTCTTTCAGCAGCACGTCTTTCTCAGCCAGCAGTTAGAGACTACTTCTGCCTGTAGGGGGTGCTCCTTTGAGCCTAGCAGAGTGGCCAAACTAACCAATCGCAACATCAGGATTCTACACACCTGAGAGACACAGAACTTCCCAGAAGATTGCTTCTGTGCCACTCTCAGCAGAAATACCCCAGGTGTATAACGTTAACAATCAGGAGCTACTCAGTTCCTCATGGCAAATTCCACCATGGAGTTTACAAAGACTTATGACTAGAAAAGCCACACTATGTAATTTACTACACTGCACATCCCATATGCTTAGTCTGTGCTGGATGCATTCTAAAGCAGAATATAAATGCATTTAAATTCTAGGAAGACAGTGCAGTAGTCTTCACGTTGTGACTATTCATAGATGAGGAACAAATGCTTTTAAGGATAGACAGATCGGGTTTACATATCAAGATAAGGAGCATTAGGTACTGTTAGAGGAGCTCTGGTAGCATAGTGCCTAAGGCACTTGACTGCTAACCAGAAGGCTGGCGATTCAAACCCACCAGCCGCTCCTCGGAAGGAAGGTTGGGCAATCCTACTTCTGTAGTGATACTGCCTCAGAAACCCAAGGAGGGGTCACTATGAGTCGGGGCCAACTCTATGGCACATAACAACAACAACAACAGGTACTGTTAGAGGTTACTGGAGGCTTTATCTCTCTGGAAGAGCTGAAATAGAAGGTGTTGGAATAGACAGCATCACCTCACCCAGTCCTTTGCAGGTTGCATGCTTTATGGATCTCAGCTTGATTACACTGGCTGAGCTGTTTGTGGATTTCCTAACTCCATGGATTGTGTCCAGCTACCCATGGGCAAAGAACAGATTGTTCCATCCTTTACAGTTGTCCCTTGGTGTTACAAGTTGAAATGTAGACTAGGTTAGAGAATTCCTTTATCCTACCACTTTGTGCACAATTAGAATGGTGTGTTACTCATAATTATATGACGAGAGTACCATGGATTTACCCATATTTTACTTTGTTTCAGGCTAAGATCTTTATAGCTGGGGAAAGCCTGACTTAGCTTCCTCTCTACAATTTTTTTTTTTTTTTTTAATTGTGATCTGGGTGAAAGTTTACAGAGAAAATTCATTTTCCATACAATAGTTCATACACATTTTATTTTCATGACACTGTGCAATCCCCATAATGTAACAGCTCTCTTCCCACTCCCTCCCTCTGATTACCCTTTCCCTGTGTCCTTTCCTATGCATTCCTGCCCTCTGAGCTATCTCCCTGTGCAAATACTGCCCTTGTGATCTCCTGTGGTTGATTGTTCTAAGGAGTATACCTACCTGGTATAAATATTCGCTTTATACGCCTGTTGTTTGGCTGAAAGCCACAGGAGTGAGTTCAATTTCAGGCACAAAGGGGTGACTAGGGGCCATACTCTTGGGGGTTTCACCAGCAGTCTCTATCAAACCAGTAAGCCTTATATTTATTTATATATATATATATATAATTTTTATACATATGTATACAATTATGAGTTGTATTCCACAGTTTCTCCCACTTTATCCAGGATCTATTTTGATCCCTTTCCAAGTGGTTGACAGTGGT